TGTGTTGTTATGGATAAATGGTAGTTAATTATTTTTGCTAGCTTCAGATAGAAAAAAGTAAAATTAAGCAAACAGAAACCAATTTAGCTTACGTTAAAGTCGAACTAAATCCAATGTTTATACAAACTATCAACTTGATGTTACATGAAACCTACGTGTAATGAAATAACTAAAAATGAATAACCTTGCTCAAATTAAATTATTTCTAATTGTGTATTCTTTAAAAACTTTTAGAAACGAGAAAGTACGAGTACGGGATTGCATAATCTAATTTATACTTCGGAATCCTGTATCTTATTCGGTTCTAACCAGTTTGGGGTTTTTTTTCCAATTTTTATAACTATCCGTTGATTGTAATGTGTGATTTCCCGCCAACAATTTTCTTTTTTTTCCCCATTAAGGCATTTAGAAACAATTTCTGTCACTTAAACAATTTTATCCACGGTCGATAGTTAAATTTTCAAATTTTGAAATACTCGGCAAGCCTTGCAAATTTGAGGTAGAAGATATATCTGTTTACACCAAATAATTTGAAATAGGCGTTGTATTTTTAGTTACGTATTTACCTTATTTGTTCCTCATATTGAAAGACTAGCTAAAACTTATCTCCTGAAATAAAGTCCAAATATATCCTCATTTATATCAATTTTAAGGAATGTTATGTGCGAAAGTATGTGACAGACTCAGGACGAATATGGTACGATTCTGGATGTGCAGATGTTCAGGTAACCAATTATTATTATTACTTTTATCCTTATTATTTTTATTATTATTATTTAATATTGTTATTATTATTATTATTATTATTATTATTATTATTATTATTATTATTATTATTATTATTATTTAATATTGTTATTATTGTTACCTTGGATTTTTTCATAGAAGGTAATCTGTAATCTGAGATGAAAATATTTATTCAATATGAACATTAAGAATAAAAAATTGTTGATATCAGACTGAAAATTTCTAAGAATTGGAGCCAATATGGCTCATTTGAGCTTTTAGTTAAACGTCAATGAGACAGCCATCTAACAAAAAAAAAACATCAAAAGGTCAACACAATATATACAAATAATATAAATAAGAAGATGTGGTATGAGTGCCAATGAGACAACTCTCCATCCAAGTCACAATGTATAAAATGTAAACAATTACTGTAAATTCAGAAATTATTGCGTGCATTTATTATTGCGATTTTTCAAAAATGGACAAGAATGCGAGTTTAATTATTGCGATTTCAGAAAAATCTACATACAGATCTATGTTTTAGTTATCAAAATGCGAGTTCTTATTATTGCGATACTCATCTAGTCGCATTATTCGCATTAATAAAAACCTCGCAATAATTTCTGAATTTATAGTATAGGTCAAGGTACGGTCTTCAACACGGAGCCTTGGCTCACACCGAACAGCAAGCTATAAAGGGCCCCAAAACGACTAGCGTAAAACAATTCAAACAGGAAAACCAACCGTCTAATATATATAAAAAAACGAGAAACGAGAAACACTTATGAACCACACCAATAAACGACAACCACTGAACAACAGGCTCCTGACTTAGGACAGGTGCATACAAATGCAGCGTTAACACGTATCTATATAAAAAGTAAAATCACAAAAATACTGAACTCCGAGGAAAATTCAAAAAGGAAAGTCCCTAATCAAATGGCAAAATCAAAAGCTCAAACACATCAAACGAATGGATAACAACTGTCATATTCCTGACTTGGTACAGGCATTTTCTTATGTAGAAAATGGTGGATTGAACCTGGTTTTATAGCTAGCTAAACCTCTCACTTGTATGACAGTCGCATCAAATTCCATTATATTGACAACAATGTGTAAACAAAACAAACAGACACAATATGATTCTTAAAGCGTTGTGAATTATTCAGCTAAGACTATCAAAGTACTGCCATTAACACCAAATATTCCAAATTATGATTATACGAGATGTGACATAAAACATCACTGACGAGGAACACCAAATATTCCAAATTATACTTATACGAGATGTGACATAAGACATCACTGACGAGGAACACCAAATATTCCAAATTATACTTATACGAGATGTGACATAAGACATCACTGACGAGGAACACCAAATATTCCAAATTATACTTATACGAGATGTGACATAAGACATCACTGACGAGGAACACCAAATATTCCAAATTATACTTATACGAGATGTGACATAAGACATCACTGACGAGGTTCCTGACTTAGAATTTGTACAGGAATATGATTCATTGTTTTTTTGTGTATAACGCCTCCTTCGGCACTCAATGCTGTATCATGGCGACCAGTTTTTATTGGTGAAGGAACCCGGTGGACCCGGGGAGACTCTCCGACCTTCAGCGGTAGTTGGTGGAGGAAGCCGGCGTGCCTGGAGAGACTCTCTGACCTTCAACAGTAGTTGGTGGAGGAAGCCGGCGTGCCTGGAGAGACTCTCCGACCTTCAGCAGTAGTTGGTGGAGGAAGCCGGCTAACCTGGGGATACTCTCCGACCTTCAACAGTAGTTGGTGGAGGAAGCCGGCGTGCCTGGGGAGACTCTCCGACCTTCAGCAGTAGAACTGGCAATCCTTGTCTGTAAAGTTAGGAATCGAACGCACCTGCTATTTACTTGGTTCGAACTCACAACCTCGGTGTTGATCGACAGGCTAGTGGTACAGTACATGAACTACTTAGACCTCTCGGCCACTAAGGTCCCTACATAAAAATGTGGTTGGCCAAAACTAAGTTGTTTTATACTAATCATTTTCTTTTTAATCTCAATGGACTAACTAACTCCATAAATAAAAAAAACGACAAAACAAAAAATACGTATAGGCAATTAACTTAACTCCAAAATAACGGTATAATTGATATCAAGAACACATGTATAAACAATACAATAATAAAAATACCGTATCAAAATACAAGATTAAAGTGCTCTTTTATCCCAAAAGTTTTGATACATACTTGGTTGTCCACTTTTTTTCTTTGAGCCCTTCTGAAGGTAAATCCTTGCTTTAAAAGTTTGTTTTCGTGAAATGTTAGCTGCATTGAAATATAGGACGTTGCTGTAAATATGAGAATATCTAACAAATGAGAAGTGTCAGAAAGTGTCAGAACAGTGATGTAACCCTAACCCTAACCCTAACCCTAAGCCAATGAGAAGTGTCAGAAAGTGTCAGATAAGTGCTGTAAACATGCGCATACCAAATCCAATGAAAAGTGATCATGCCAAAAGAAGGAAATAACGGTACATCACTGTCAAGGAAAGCGCTGCGGATATGAGCCTACCTAACCAATGAAAAGTGACACTCTAAAAGAAGGCTATAATTGAAAATCATCGTCTAGAAAAGTGCTGTAGACATGCGCATAGCGAAGCAAATGACAAGTGAAAAAGGTGAAAGAACAACACCGTCAAGCAAAGTACCAGGCTGAAGCTAGCGAACAATAACTAGCGAACAATAAGCCAGCGAACAATAAGGCGATATATCTAAAAACCGAAAAAATGAATAAGACAGCAACGGCCGTTAAATGAAAAATATTTAAACAGGCAGAAATTCCGTCCAAATATTGCAATTTCAACTCAAACATGAAATGGTATTTATCCCATCCATTGATAAAACAAGCCACATCTCTTTTTAGGCTAATATTCAGTACCACAGTAAATCTGCATCTGTCAACGGATTATTTGTAGGTGTAAAACCACCAATGCACTCACTTCCATTTAGAACGTATGTAAAAGTAGTCCTTCCCTGTAAAATACAGCACCTTTGATGTCATTGTTTAATTGAACTAAGATACACATTTGCAGAAATGGGGGTTGGCCTATTCCATGGCTTCTTGAAAAAAATAATGAGGGGTGTCACGGATTATGACTATATAGGTCTTGTAGAGGACAAACAGGCGCATCTTTTGCGCAAGGTATCGAAGGGCGCTATGTTCAAAAATCTGAAACTAGAGCTCAAAATTTGAAAGAAAATGTTAAAAACAGGGGGGTTGGCCTATTCCATGGCTTCTAGAGAAAAATAATGAGGAGTATCACTGGGTATGACTATATAGGTCTTCTAGAGGAGAAACAGACGCATCTTTTGCGCAAGGTATCGATGGCGCTTTGTTCAAAAATCTGAAACTAGAGCTCAAAATTTGAAAAAAATTTGTTAAAAACAGGGGGAATGGCCTATTCCATGGCTTCTAGAGAAAAATAATGAGGGGTGTCACGGGGTATGACTATATAGGTCTTGTAGAGGAGAAACAGGCGCATCTTTTGCGCAAGGTATTGAAGGGCGCTATGTTAAAAAATCTAAAACTAGACCTCAAAATTTAAAAAAAAATTGTAAAAAAAAGGGGGGTTGGCCTATTCCATGGTTTCTAGAGAAAAATAATGAGGGGTGTCACGGGGTATGACTTTATAGGTCTTGTAGAGGAGAAACAGGCGCATCTTTTGCGCAAGGTATCGAAGGGCGCTATGTTCAAAAATCTGAAACTAGAGCTCAAAATTTGAAAAAAAAATTGTTAAAAACAGGGGGTTGTCCTATTCCATGGCTCCTAGGGAAAAATAATGAGGGGTGTCACGGGGTATGACTATATAGGTCTTGTAGAAGAGAAACAGGCGCATCTTTTGCGCAAGGCATCGAAGGGCGCTATGTTCAAAAATCTGAAACTAGAGCTCAAAATTTGAAAAAAAATGTTAAAAACAGGGGGGTTGGCCTATTCCATGGCTTCTACAGAAAAATAATGAGGGGTGTCACGGGGTATGACAATATAGGTCTTGTAGAAGAGAAACAGGCACATATCTTGCACAAGGTTTCGAAGGGCGCTATGTTCAAAAATCTGAAACTAGAGCTCAAAATTTGAAAAAAATTGTTAAAAACAGGGGGGGTTGGCCTATACCATGGCTTCTAGAGAAAAATAGTGAGGGGTGTCACGGGGTATGACTATATAGGTCTTGTAGAAGAGAAACAGGCGCATATCTTGCACAAGGTTTCGAAGAGCGCTATGTTCAAAAATCGGAAACTAGAGCTCAAAATTTGAAAAAAATTGTTAAAAACAGGGGGGTTGGCCTATACCATGGCTTCTAGAGAAAAATAATGAGGGGTGTCACGGGGTATGACTATATAGGTCTTGTAGAGGAGAAACAGGCGCATCTCTTGCGCAAGGTATCGAAGGGCGCTATGTTCAAAAATCTGAAACTGGAGCTCAAAATTTGAAAAAAAATGTTAAAAACAGGGGAGTTGGCCTATTCCATGGTTTCTAGAGAAAAATTATGAGGGGTGTCACGGGGTATATCTATATAGGTCTTGTAGAGGAGAAACAGGCGCATCTTTTGCGCAAGGTATCGAAGGGCGCTACGTTCAAAAATCTGAAACTAGAGCTCAAAATTTGAAAAAAAATTGTTAAAAACAGGGGGTTGGCCTATTCCATGGCTTCTAGAGAAAAATAATGAGGAGTGTCACGGGGTATGACTTTATAGGTCTTGTAGAGGAGAAACAGGCGCATCTTTTGCGCAAGGTATCGAAGGGCGCTATGTTAAAAAATCTAAAACTAGATATCAAAATTTAAAAAACAATTGTTAAAAACAGGGGGATTGGCCTATTCCATGGTTTCTAGAGAAAAATAATGAGGAGTTTCACTGGATATGACTATATAGGTCTTGTAGAGGAGAAACAGGCGCATCTTTTGCGCAATGTATCGAAGGGCGCTATGTTCAAAAATCTGAAACTAGAGCTCAAAATTTGAAAAAAAATTTGTTAAAAACAGGGGGTTGGCCTATTCCATGGCTTCTACAGAAAAATAATGAGGAGTGTCACGGGGTATGACAATATAGGTCTTGTAGAAAATAAACAGGCGCATATCTTGCACAAGGTTTCGAAGGGCGCTATGTTCAAAAATCTGAAACTAGTGCTCAAAATTTGAAAAAAATTGTTAAAAACAGCGGGGTTGACCGATTCCATGGCTTCTAGGGGAAAAAAATGAGGGGTGTCACGGGGTATGACTATATAGGTTTTGTAGAGGAGAAACAGGCGCATCTTTTGCGCAATGTATTGAAGGGCCCTATGTTCAAAAATCTGAAACTAGAGCTCAAAATTTGAAAAAAATTGTTAAAAACAGGGGGGTTGGCCTATACCATGGCTTCTAGAGAAAAATAATGAGGGGTGTCACGGAGTATGACTGTATAGGTCTTGTAGAGGAGAAACAGGCGCATCTCTTGCGCAAGGTATCGAAGGGTGCTATGTTCAAAAATCTGAAACTAGAGCTCAAAATTTGAAAAAAAATGTTTAAAACAGGGGAGTTGGCCTATTCCATGGTTTCTAGAGAAAAATAATGAGGGGTGTCACGGGGTATGTCTATATAGGTCTTGTAGAGGAGGAACAGGCGCATCTTTTGCGCAAGGTATCGAAGGGCGCTATGTTGAAAAATCTGAAACTAGAGCTCAAAATTTGAAAAAAAAGTGTTAAAAACAGGGGGGTTGGCCTATTCCATGGCTTCTACAGAAACATAATGAGGAGTGTCACGGGGTATGACTTTATAGGTCTTGTAGAGGAGAAACAGGCGCATCTTTTGCGCAAGGTATCGAAGGGCGCTATGTTCAAAAATCTGAAACTAGAGCTCAAAATTTGAAAAAAAAATTGTTTAAAACAGGGGGTTGTCCTATTCCATGGCTTCTAGGGAAAAATAATGAGGGGTGTCACGGGGTATGACTATATAGGTCTTGTAGAAGAGAAACAGGCGCATCTTTTGCGCAAGGTATCGAAGGGCGCTATGCTCAAAAATCTGAAACTAGAGCTCAAAATTTGAAAAAAAATGTTAAAAACAGGGGGGTTGGCCTATTCCATGGTTTCTACAGAAAAATAATGAGGGGTGTCACGGGGTATGACAATATAGGTCTTGTAGAAGAGAAACAGGCGCATATCTTGCACAAGGTTTCGAAGGGCGCTATGTTCAAAAATCTGAAACTAGAGCTCAAAATTTGAAAAAAATTGTTAAAAACAGGGGGGTTGGCCTATTCCATGGCTTCTACAGAAAAATAATAAGGGGTGTCACGGGGTATGACTATATAGGTCTTCTAGAGGAGAAACAGGCGCATCTTTTGCGCAAGGTATGGAAGGGCGCTATGTTCAAAAATCTGAAACTAGAGCTCAAAATTTGAAAAAAAAAATTGTTAAAAACAGGGGGTTGTCCTATTCCATGGCTTCTAGGGAAAAATAATGAGGGGTGTCACGGGGTATGACTATATAGGTCTTGTAGAAGAGAAACAGGCGCATCTTTTGCGCAAGGCATCGAAGGGCGCTATGTTCAAAAATCTGAAACTAGAGCTCAAAATTTGAAAAAAAATGTTAAAAACAGGGGAGTTGGCCTATTCCATGGCTTCTACAGAAAAATAATGAGGGGTGTCACGGGGTATGACAATATAGGTCTTGTAGAAGAGAAACAGGCACATATCTTGTACAAGGTTTCGAAGGGCGCTATGTTCAAAAATCTGAAACTAGAGCTCAAAATTTGAAAAAAATTGTTAAAAACAGGGGGGGTTGGCCTATACCATGGCTTCTAGAGAAAAATAGTGAGGGGTGTCACGGGGTATGACTATATAGGTCTTGTAGAAGAGAAACAGGCGCATATCTTGCACAAGGTTTTGAAGAGCGCTATGTTCAAAAATCGGAAACTAGAGCTCAAAATTTGAAAAAAATTGTTAAAAACAGGGGGGTTGTCCTATACCATGGCTTCTAGAGAAAAATAATGAGGGGTGTCACGGGGTATGACTATATAGGTCTTGTAGAGGAGAAACAGGCGCATCCTTTGCGCAAGGTATCGAAGGGCGCTATGTTCAAAAATCTGAAACTGGAGCTCAAAATTTGAAAAAAAATGTTAAAAACAGGGGAGTTGGCCTATTCCATGGTTTCTAGAGAAAAATTATGAGGGGTGTCACGGGGTATATCTATATAGGTCTTGTAGAGGAGAAACAGGCGCATCTTTTGCGCAAGGTATCGAAGGGCGCTACGTTCAAAAATCTGAAACTAGAGCTCAAAATTTGAAAAAAAATTGTTAAAAACAGGGGGTTGGCCTATTCCATGGCTTCTAGAGAAAAATAATGAGGAGTGTCACGGGGTATGACTTTATAGGTCTTGTAGAGGAGAAACAGGCGCATCTTTTGCGCAAGGTATCGAAGGGCGCTATGTTAAAAAATCTAAAACTAGATATCAAAATTTAAAAAACAATTGTTAAAAACAGGGGGATTGGCCTATTCCATGGTTTCTAGAGAAAAATAATGAGGAGTTTCACTGGATATGACTATATAGGTCTTGTAGAGGAGAAACAGGCGCATCTTTTGCGCAAGGTATCGAAGGGCGCTATGTTCAAAAATCTGAAACTAGAGCTCAAAATTTGAAAAAAAATTTGTTAAAAACAGGGGGTTGGCCTATTCCATGGCTTCTACAGAAAAATAATGAGGAGTGTCACGGGGTATGACAATATAGGTCTTGTAGAAAATAAACAGGCGCATATCTTGCACAAGGTTTCGAAGGGCGCTATGTTCAAAAATCTGAAACTAGTGCTCAAAATTTGAAAAAAATTGTTAAAAACAGCGGGGTTGACCGATTCCATGGCTTCTAGGGGAAAAAAATGAGGGGTGTCACGGGGTATGACTATATAGGTTTTGTAGAGGAGAAACAGGCGCATCTTTTGCGCAATGTATTGAAGGGCCCTATGTTCAAAAATCTGAAACTAGAGCTCAAAATTTGAAAAAAAAATTGTTTAAAACAGGGGGTTGTCCTATTCCATGGCTTCTAGGGAAAAATAATGAGGGGTGTCACGGGGTATGACTATATAGGTCTTGTAGAAGAGAAACAGGCGCATCTTTTGCGCAAGGTATCGGAGGGCGCTATGCTCAAAAATCTGAAACTAGAGCTCAAAATTTGAAAAAAAATGTTAAAAACAGGGGGGTTGGCCTATTCCATGGTTTCTACAGAAAAATAATGAGGGGTGTCACGGGGTATGACAATATAGGTCTTGTAGAAGAGAAACAGGCGCATATCTTGCACAAGGTTTCGAAGGGCGCTATGTTCAAAAATCTGAAACTAGAGCTCAAAATTTGAAAAAAATTGTTAAAAACAGGGGGGTTGGCCTATTCCATGGCTTCTACAGAAAAATAATGAGGGGTGTCACGGGGTATGACTATATAGGTCTTCTAGAGGAGAAACAGGCGCATCTTTTGCGCAAGGTATGGAAGGGCGCTATGTTCAAAAATCTGAAACTAGAGCTCAAAATTTGAAAAAAAAAATTGTTAAAAACAGGGGGTTGTCCTATTCCATGGCTTCTAGGGAAAAATAATGAGGGGTGTCACGGGGTATGACTATATAGGTCTTGTAGAAGAGAAACAGGTGCATCTTTTGCGCAAGGTATCGAAGGGCGCTATGCTCAAAAATCTGAAACTAGAGCTCAAAATTTGAAAAAAAATGTTAAAAACAGGGGGGTTGGCCTATTCCATGGTTTCTACAGAAAAATAATGAGGGGTGTCACGGGGTATGACAATATAGGTCTTGTAGAGGAGAAACATGCGCATCTTTTGCGCAAGGTATCGAAGGGCGCTATGTTCAAAAATCTGAAACTAGGGCTCAAAAGGAAAAAAAAAGAAGGAAAAAACAGAGGGGGTTGGCCTATTGGTGTAATACCTCCATTGATTTTTTTTTTTTTTTTTTTAACATAACATTTCATTGCATATAAGAAAATAACTATCACTGTCAGTTAACCAATCAAATTTGCCCCTTATTTAACCTGTGTACAAGCTTTAGTAACCATGCAACCTCAAGTTTCCAAAATATTCTACAGAAACCCCCCCCCCCCAAAAAAAAATGATGCTTTGAAATACCCAAGATACATGTATATGTTTATGACCCAGAAATGTTTTACTGCAATAAAATGATGGATTAATTGCCTACAACTGTCAAATTCAAGGGAATATTTTTTCGACCTATTTTCGTATGCAACCGGATGTGACGTACCATGCATTAATAGGTGGTATTACACCTATTCAATGGCTTCTAGAGAAAAATATAATGTGGAGTTTCACGGGGTATAGCTATATAGGTGTTGTAGAGGAGAAACAGGCGCATGGTTTGCGCAAGGTTTCGAGTTGCGCTTTGTCCAAAATCTGAAACTAGGGCTCGGAATTTCAAAAACAATTTGGGAAAAACAACTGGAATTTGCCTATTCCATAGCCTCTGGAAAAAATAATGAGGGATGTCGCGGGGTAAGACTATAAAGATCTTGTAGAGGGCACACAGGCGCAAATCTTCAAGAGGTGCTATGTTTAATTATGTCGAAAGGAACTAAAATTTAGTGAGGAACAAAGCCAACTCAAATGTCAGACAAGAACGTGAAAATCGTGAAAAAGACATATCAGAGTCAGCAAAGAAGAATTTCTTGTCATATGAAGTCGAAATGAAAATCCAAATTCCTCCATCCGAATTATATGATGAAAGAGATTGTAAAATGTGTTATGTAAGTACTGATAAAGAGAAGGCTGAACACTGGCTGAATTTTTTTCAAGGGTATTTCGAAAAAGAAAACGATGAAGATGAAAGAACTTTAGTGCGAAGGCCAGCTGGTATACAACCTAAAAATCTATATACTATTACAGACTTAATAGACAGTCTACTTTGTTTTATTTTCAAAAGTCTATTTATATCAGAGGTTTTGTACCAGAATAAAACAAAATCGACAAACAGTACTGAGTTGTTAAAAAAATATGATAGTAAAACTACATACAGACCAGTTAACTTTATCATTGACAATCCAAGCGCCACATTCTTAAAGACGGTATAAGTACCATCGTCCACGTGCGTGCATTGTCTGATATAAATAAATGTTTACTAGGCAAAAATAGAAACGTTACACTGGTTTTTAATTAAAAGAATTTACATACATTAATTTATAATATTTTCAAGATTAAAACTAGTGACCTGAATGATTTATCTATCATTTACTAATTTGTTTAAAATTCGAAGACGACGTTACGTCATTTTCTGATTTTAAACAAATAAGCATTTTTTCAAACATTTACCTGTATCAAGATGGAATTGAGTTGTCCTTTTGGTCATTAAATGTGTCGAGCACTATTGTTAACAAAAGGTCGCATTAAAAAATTGAAAAAGTTACACGTAAGTCAATGCCACGTCTACGTCATAATGAGAGAGAACGAGCTATTGTTTTGTTGGCAGCAAAAATAACTCTAATACAGGTTGCAAATCATCCCAATGTCTCTAGAATGAATATTGAAAGGCTTAAGACTCGTCTTAGAGATACTGGCACGACAAATAATCGTCCCCGAGGTTGCAGGCAACGTGAAACGAAGTTACGTCAAAACAGTCACATCCGCATTATTCATCTCCGGAATCGATTTGTAAACTTGTCACAAACAGCACGACAAACTCATGGAAGAAACAAAATCAGGCTTTATTCCCAAACAGTTTGTAACCGACTGCATCAAGTTTGCCTAACAGCTCATCGTCCGTTGAAGGGACCTATCCTTACGCAACGTCACAGGATGTCGCGACTTGAATGGACTCGGGTACGGATTCGATGGAATAGGCTAACATGGAGACAAGTCCTTTTTACCGATGAATAGAAATTCAACTTGACATTTAGCGACGGCAAAGCCAGTGTCTACCGGAGGTGCAATGCATGATTTTCTGATGCGTGCGTACAGGAAACGGATCTGTTTGAGGGTGGCGGAATTATTGTATGGGACGGAATAACCTACCAGGAACGCACCGATCTGACAATTATTGAAGGTAACCTAAATGCAAAAAGGTATAGGAACGAAATTCTGGCTCCACTCGTTCTCCCGTTTCTCCGAAGTCATCGTTTTGACCACGTTTTTCAGCAGGACAACGCCCGTTGTCACGTGGCACACATTTCAATGATTTTTTGGAGAATAATCACATTCGTGTGTTGCTGTGGCCAGCAATGTCTCCAGATTATCGCCAATGGAACATTTTTGGGACGAACTTGGACGACCCATCAGAAAGAGCCAAAATCCATTGGAAACGCTCGCCAATCTCCGAATAGTATTTTTCAGGGAATGGAACAACACAAACGGCCATTGATAAAGAGGGATGATCATGGGTAGATCCTTCAAATACTGGAACATGAACGACAACCATATCACCATTCTGAAAGCTCCGAGGGCCAGTTCGGATGCTGTAATGAAATGGTGGGTTATTAAAAAAGTAAAAGACAGCACGTATGAAACCTAGTGCGACCAGATTTAAATGGATATAAAATGAATGAAGCAATCAAAGAACATGAGAAAAAATAATGGACAAGCTGGACAAGTGTGACCACAAACTCAAACATGCAGAACCATTTGATTAGTTAACTTCACGAAAATAAAATGGCAGAGGACAAGGTGATGAATGTTTGGTATGCAAAGAAATAGTAAGAACAAGAAAGAGAAATTCAATAGATTGACGGAGTGAGATGTGTTAAAATAAACTAGTGTAGATATCGAGATCTTAAAAATTGAGGGTAATACGTTGCATCATAATCATACCTCTCGTAAATACCACACACATGAAGTTTACTATGTGTCGCACTTAATGTAAAGTCACGTCACTTTGACATGTTACTATGACTAGTACATCTATCACATAGCCAAGAAGTCTTTTATTTCTATCTTAAGAAGGGAAAATGGATACAAAGCTGAAAGCCATTCGTTTCGGACATAAACGAGCACTTACAAGACTTTGGAAGAATTTTGGAGACATAACTGCAGAGATAGTTTCGATATAGAAATTGAGGAAGTCACAGCTATTTTAGATTCCGTGTCACAGAAAAGTGATATTCAGAAAGGTCTTAATGAAAGAAGCTTGCTCGGATGAAGACGTGGTGGAAGAAATTCAGCAAACAGTTCAGTACATGTTCGTGTACATTAAAAAAAACGTCAAATTAAAAACTCATTCAATCCTCACAATCAACTAGTCATAATTTACCCGTCAATACTACCGTTTTTCAAGCTAGTCATTTTACTCCCTCTGATACACCCATACATATCATGATTTCACCTACAGGCAATAGTGTACCCGCAAGCGACTCCTCTCAATAGAACCCGCACGCCAATTGATTCAGGTCGACACCTCTTGTACAATAAAATGCAGCATAGTTTTATACTAGTAACCCTGCTATATCAGAGAAAACCGTTAAACCCATTGGTTACTAGTAACCTTTACATTCTCATAACCTTTACAGTCTTGGAGAATCATCAAGAATATAGACCTCCTTTTTAGTGGATTTGGAAACAAGTTATTGTAACTTATATTAATCATATCCCTCTCTACTTTGCTGGTGCGAATGCTGCCTTGTAGCGGCATTAGCCTGGTCTCTTTCGAAATCTACAAGGTTGTCTTTTACGTGCAGTGATATGGATCTCTCTTTATGCGGGTCAGCCGTTTATCGTACCCTTCCGACAGACTATCATCGTTCATGAAGACAATACTCGCAAATGGTGTCAAGGCAGAGCCGAAAATTTGGTCCCTGAAATTTTCTCCCAGGAACAGAGATCGAACCACGAACCTTTGTGTTTGAAAAGAGAGGTTGTGACTCCATGTCTAATTGTTTGATCCAAGAAATAAATGACTGAGATTACCTATCCATTTCTCAAAGAGATCATTGACATCACCCCGATTTCGCCTTCGCAATACCTTATCGATGCGGTACGAGGTATTCCGAAGTTCTGGAACCCTGTATTTCCTCATCGTTGAAATCATGGGAATTGGTAAACACGCGGATCCGATCCTGCTGTATAGTAGGCATGTCTGCATACAAGTTACAGTACACCTTATTTTCTTTCATATTTCTTATGACTTGCTGCCAAAGGTCTTAAGTCGATCTCTGTTTGGTGGTGTTTTGTTGGTGAACGAGATCATCTAAAGTACCAATCGCGCATGTGCGCGTACATTTGGCTTTAAAGTATTTGATCATCTTCACATCATGGTGTGGTCCCAGTGGTCGAGAAAACCCGGCTTTCCTCCATTCTGGCGGGATCAACGTCGTGTTTGCGGCATAGCACTTTGACCTCTTTGTTGTGGAATTCAGTAACCTTTTCCGTCCATAGTTTTATGAAAATGTTTGACTTAAATACGGTATAAAAAAAGCAACCTTGATCGTCATACCTTCTTGGTCTTTGGCGGCACTAAACAGTCGTATTTGGCAAGGAAAACATTGATGATGCTAAGAATAAACGTGAATTCTTTGTTCTGTTGAGATAGAACTGTAATCCAAGTTTCACCTAAACGAACAGCGTTCAGGCATCGTTTCTCGAATTTACGTCGAAATGTTTTATCCGTCCAACGAACTTTTCTATTGAGACGCCAAGACCAATTGAACTTTTTTGCCATTTTTAAGCACAAATCCTGCATAGGGACCCCAACCTCAAACATAAAATGCAAATTCATTGTGTTTCAACTAGTCTAAGGATAGAAACAAGAATATGGCTTTTTGTAAACAATGGTAGAGACACCTTAAAGGGATGTAATGCTAGGGTAGATACAAGTATGTCTTTCACACAAAACGTCAGAGATATCCCAGCCCCAAACACCTTAGAAGAAAG